CGGGCTAAGAAATAGATATGAAACAACATCTTCTACTGTTGATGTTGATGTATAAGATGTATAAGAAACATACATCAACTTCAAAGACAGACATTGTATCAGAGTAAAGGGTTGGTAAAAGATTTTCCAATCAAATGGACCTAAGAAACAAGCAGGTTTCTTAGGCTCCTAATATCTAACAAAATAGACTTCAAACTGCAGTCAATCAGAGATAGAGAAGGACACTTTATACTTATAACAGGAACAATCCATCAAGATAAACTCTCAATACTGAGCATCTATGTCCCAAATACAAGAGCATCCACAAATGTAAAAGAAACATTACTAAAGCTTAAATTGTACATCAAATCCCACACACTAATAGTAGGAGACTTCAACACCCCACTTTCCACAATGGACAGGTCAACCAGACAGAAACTTAACACAGAAATAAGAGAACTAAAAGATGCCATGACTCAAATGGAATTAACAAACATCTATAGAACACTCCACTCAAACACAAAAGAATATATCTTCTTCTCAGCACATCATGGAATCTTCTCTAAAATTGACCACATCCTCAGTTACAAAGTAAACCTCAACAGATATAAAAAAAATTGGAATAACCCCCTGTATCTTATCAGAACACCAACTGAAGAAACACAAACTGAAGAAAATACCATAAAATGGAAAGATCTCCCATGCTCTTGAATAGGTAGGATCAACATAATAAAAATGGCAATCCTATCAAAAGCAATCTATACACTGAATGCAACCCTCATCAAAAATTCCAACATAATTCTTCACAGACCTTGAAAGAAAAATACTCAACTTCATGTGGAAAAAAACAAAAATAAAGCCAGGATAGCCAAAACAATCCTGTAGAATAAAGAAACTTCCAAAGGCATCACCATCTCTGACACCAAGCTCTATTAACAACTACAGTAATGAAAACAGCTTGGTATTGGCATAAAAACAGACAGGTTGACCAATGGAATCAAATCGAAGACCTGAAAATTAATCCACACACCTATGAACAGCTGATTTTTGACAAAGAAGCTAAAAACAAATGATGGAAAAAAGAAAGCATATTCAACAAATGATGCTGGCATAACTGGATGTCAACATGTAGAAGAATGAAAATAGATCCATATCTATCCCCATGCACAAAATTCAAGTCCAAATAGATTAAAGACCTCAATATAAATCTGACCACGTTGAACCTGACAGAAGAGAAAGTAGTAAGCAGCCTTTAATGTATGGGCACAGGAGACCACTTCCTAAATATAACCCTTGTAGCACAGACACTGAGAGCAACAATAAATAAGTGGAACCTCCTGAAACTGAGGAAGTTCTGTAAAGTAAAGGACACTGTCAAAAGGACAAAAAGGCAGCCTACTGAATGGGAAAAGATCTTTACCAACCCCACATCAGACAAAAGACTGTTCTCCAAAATATAAGGGCTGGAGAGATGGCTCAGTGGTTAAGAGCATTGCCTGCTCTTCCAAAGGTCCTGAGTTCAATTCCCGGCAACCACATGGTGGCTCACAACCATCTGTAATGAGGTCTGGTGCCCTCTTCTGGCCTGCCGACATACACACAGACAGAATATTGTATGCATAATAAATAAATAAATAAATATAAAAAAGAATTCAAGAAATTATACATCAAAATATCAAGTAATACAATAAAAATGGGATACAGATATAAACATAGAATTCTCAACAGAAGAATCACAAATGGCCAAAAGACACTTAAGGAAATGTTCAACATCCTTAGCCATTAGGGAAATGCAAATCAAAATGACTCTGAGATACCATCTTACACCAGTCAGAATGACTAAGATCAAAAACACCAATGAAAGCTTATGCTGGAGAGGATGAGGAGTAAGGGAAACACTCCTCCTTTGCTGGTGGGAATGCAAACTTGTACAATCACTCTGGAAATTAGTGGAATCAATCTACCTCAAGACCCAGTAATACTACTCTTGGGCCTATACCCAAAGGATGCTCAATCATACTACAATGACATTTGTTCCACTATGTTCATAGCAGCATTATTTATAATAGTCAGAACCTAGAAACAACCTAGATTGTCCCTCAACCGAAGAATAGATAAAGAAAATGTGATATATTTACACAATGGAGTAATACTCAGCGGTAAAAAAACAATAACATTCTTGAAATTTTCATGCAAATGGATGGAACTAGAAAAAACCAGCCTGAGTGAGGTAACCCAGACCCAGAAAGATGAACATGGTATGTACTCACTTGTAAGTGGATAGTAGCTATAAAGCAAAGGATATTAAGCCTATTGTCCACAACCCTAGAGAAGCTAAGTAACAAAGGGAACATATATAGATCCCCTTGGGAAGGGGAAATAGATGAGATCTCCTGACAAAATTGGGAGCATGGGGATGAAGAAAGAAAGAAGGGCAGAAGGGGAGGGGAAGGAGAGAAAGGGAAGAGGAGGAGAACTTGAGGGAATGGGATAGTCGAGATGGAGCAAGGACAGAGACAGAAAGCAAGGAAAGAGATATTTTGATTGAGGGAGACATTATGGGGCTAGCAAGAAACCTGGCACTAGAGAAATTCCCAGGGATACACAAGGATGACCCCAGCTAAGAACCTAAGGAATAGTGGAAAGGGTCCCTGAACTGGCCTTGTCCCGTAGTCAGATTGATGACGATCTTAAATGTCACCATAGAACCTTCATCCAGCAACTGATGGAAACAGAGGCAGAGACCCACAGAGGAGCACTGGGCTGAGCTCCTGGAGTCCGATTGAAGAGTGGGAGAAATGAGAATATGAGCAAAGAGGTCAAGACCATGATGGGTACACCCACTGAAACAGTCTACCTGAGCTAATGGGAACTCACCAACTCCACATGGACAGGGAAGGAACCAGCATAGGACCAAACTAGACCCCCTGAATGTGGGTGTCAGTTGTATGACTGGGGCAACTGCGAGGCCACTGGCAGTGGCACCAGGATTTGTGCCTGCTGCTTGTACTGGCATTTTGAGACCCATTCTCTTTGGATGGATATCTTGCTCAGCCTGTATATAGTGGGGAGGGCCTTGGTCCTTCCTTGGAGCAATGTGCCTTGTCCTCTCTGAGGAGTGGATGGGGACAGGGAGGAAGGTGGAAGGAAGGGGAGGAGAAGAGGGAATGGGAACTGCAATTGATTTTGTAAAATGAAAAAAGTTTGTTTTCTTTTTTAAAAAATAAAATCTAAAAAAAATCCATGACCTATTCATAATTTTACTGAAAATAAATCTTTTAGCTCTTTATTTAACCACTAAAAATATAGTGTAGTGCGCTAGTCTTCCCCTACTACTTCAAGACCCAGCAATACCACTCTTGCAAATATAGACAAAGGATGAGGATTCATACCACAAGGACATTTGCTCAGCTATGTTCATAGCAGCATTATTCATAATAGCCAGAACCTGGAAACAACCTAGATGCCCCTCAACTGAAGAATGGATAAAGAAAATGTGGTACATTTACACAATGGAGTACTACTCCGTGGTTAAAAAAAAATATGACATTCTTGAAATTTGCATGCAAATGGGTGGAACTAGGAAAAAATATTCTCAGTGAGGTAACTCAGACCCAGAAAGAAAAACACAGTATATACTCACTCGCAGTAAGTGAATATTAGACATAAAGCAAAGGATAACCAGCCTACAGTTCTCAACCCCCAAGAAGACAGAAAATGAGAAGCCTGAGAGAGACATATATGGGTCCCCTGGGAAGGAGAAGTAGACAACATCTCTTTAGTAATGTGACAGGGTGGGGCGACAAGAGAGGGTGGTAGAGGATTGGGGAGGGGAGTATGAGGAATCGGGAAAATCGAGCTGGCTGAAGGACAGAGAGGGAGAGCAAGGAAAGAGATACCTTGAAAGAAGGAGCCCTTATGGGGTTAGCAAGACCCCAAGCACTAGGGAAATTTCCAGGAATCCACAAGAATGACCCCAGCTAAGAATCTAAGCAATAGTGGAGAGGGTACCTAAAATGCCCTTCCCCTGTAATCAGATTGATGACTACCTTAATTGTCATCACAGAGCCTTCATCCAGTAACTGATGGAAGCAGATGCAGAGATCCACAGCTAAGCACTAAGTTGGACTCCTGGAGTTCAACCGTAGAGAGGGAGGAGTGATATTGCTAGCAAAAAGCCCAAGGTCATGATGGGGAAACCAACAGAAACGGCTGACCCAAGCTAATGGAACTGTCAGCAGGGGAGCCGCATAAGGCCACACGAGGCCCTCTGAATGTGGGTGACAGCTGTGTGACCCGGGCTATTTATGGGGCCACTAGCCATGAAACCAATATTTATCCCTAGTGCATGAACTGTCTCTTTGGAGCCCATTCCCTGTAGAGAATACCTTGCTCAGCCCAGACAGTCCAGGCAACTTTCTATTGTAGACAGTAGAGAGGCTTGTAAGGCATTCTCCTTTTTCAGGACTCATTGGCCATTGCTAGATGAAAGGGGTCACTAAGGCATACTCATCCTCAAGATTGATAGTCAGTTAATGATGTCTGGGAGAGGAAAGATATTTTCTTCAATGGAATAGCCACTAGAAGTCGCTCACTGTCCTGTAAATAACATATCATCCCTGCTTCGATAGCTAACCCTAATTTAACTTCTTGGTTCACACCCACACACACACAAAAAAAAGACATGAAAGTATAAAAGGACTGAGTAAGAAGAGAAATGGGATGAGTGGGGATGAGAGAAGAATAAGAACAATTAGTGATAAATATGAAAAAATATGTAACACACATATATAAAAATGTTATAATGCTCATCCTTATGTATAATTAATATAAGCTAAGAAAAAGTTTTAAAATCCTGTGGATAAGTTTTTACAAATTAAATTCAATAAGCAAAAGTCCCTTTTGAATGAAATATATGTATGCAATATATTTAATAGTGGCATATTGCATCTTGACACCTATACATATATGTATCAGGCTCGTGCTTTCTTTGTGTCATAACAAGCTGCCATTATGCTCACCTCAATGGTTAAGATGTCTCCAGAACTCTTCATTCTATTTATGTGTGCGACTTTTCTAAGTTCCTTTAAGCTTCTTTGAAGTTTGTTGGTCACAATCAGCCACCGAGCTGACTCTGACATCCACCTGCACATGAAGATGTTGAAAGTAAAATTAATTTTCATGTGGTCAGTTTTGTACCACATTTGTCCTTGGATAGTTTTATGATTAGTTTAAGGGTTGTAGAAGTAAATATAATGGTTATATAAAAAATATAATGGTTATAACAGTAAATATAATCCTATGTTATCTGGTACTAGAAAACAATTTACTCATGGAGTACACCTGTACATCCGGACTGCAGAATTGGAGTCATGTTGGTCTCCCTGCCATGACCTGGATGCAAATTTACATGCAGTTCACCGGAATGGAACATAAGGGACACCTATATAGTACTTTCCCAGATTCCCTGTTAGAATGTAGGTAGCATTTATTCATAATATGTTTTCCTAAATTAAGGACCTCTGGAAAAATTGTACACAGTGATTATACCATTTGAAGTGTGTTCATTCCTACACCAAGCACCTGGTGGCATCTAACCACTCATTACAGAGGAATCTGATTCAGTTTCTCATTTATATAATGGGATAATCAGTGCCACGGTGTTGATTGGTGTGTTGTGAAGATTTAAGTTGCATGAATGGGTCTGACAGAAGATTTTCTCCTTTGTCTGATGAACTTCTCTCACTGTATCAAGCCTGTCAGGCCCCTTACAGTCATTTCTAACCAAGTATGCCGTCTCTGCTGATCCAGTAGTGTAGCACTTTTTAAGTAATTTTAAAGGAGGAAAGGGTATGATTTTGCTCTAGGAGCTAAGCCCACATAGCCTCTTGCACTAAGTAGGGGACCCCAGCTTCCCCTGCTCAGGCCCATCCTGGAAGACCAGAAGCTCACTGCACTAATCTGAAGGAGAAAATTACATCTCAGACATACTAAGACTTAATCCTCTCCTGAACATCGTGGCTCTAGTACAAGAAAAAAGGCAATCTGAACAAAAAAAGGAAGAAATAAAGAAACATTCAACCAACCAAGTTCTCCAGCTGCTTCAGTCCCCACTCAACCCAAAACAACATGACTCCTCCAAAAATTGCTAATCCCATAATAATTATCATAATAGAAATGACCAGAAAAAATACCAGACAAATAATTCAACATAATGATTATAACCATATTTAGCACTTCAAATAATATGTGAATATGCTCCAAGAGAACAAAAAAAAAGAGAGAAATAAAATAAGGAGTAACAGAATTCAGTGAAGAGGTAAGATTACTGGGGAAAAAAGAAGCTGAAATGATGCTGAAAATGAAAAACTCATTAATTAATTCAAATAGAAACCTCAGTGGAGCCCAGGCTGGGGAAGGTTGAAGAGAGGAGGGGAAAGGCAGGGAGGGGAGCAGAGAAAATGTAGAGCTCAATAAAAATCAACAATAATAATAAAGATAACAATCTGCCACAGGCTATTACAATTCTAAACATATGTTGAAATAAGGAGCGGCGGGGCTGTGTCCCTAGCACCCCAGCCGCCTGCTAGCTTATGCCCGAAATAACAACACACAAACTGTATTCATTTAAAGACTGCTTGGCCCATTTCTATCTAGCCTCTTCTAGGCTAATTCTCACATATTAATTTAGCCCATTTCTAATAATGTGTGTAAGCACCCCAAGGTGCGCTTACTGGGAAGATTCTAACCTACATCTATCCTGGGTCGGAGCTGCCTGGGAGAGCGGAGCCGGGCCTCTGCTCAGGAGAGCAGAGCTGTCAAGTCTCTCCGGGAGCAGAGCAGAGTCTGAGCTCACTTCCTCTTCCTCCCAGCATCCTATTCTGTTTACTCCTCCCACCTATGTTTTAACCTATCAGGGCCAAGGAGTTTCTTTATTGCTTAACCAATGAAATCAACAGATTGATATATGACACTCCCACATCAAACATATATGTACCAAAAACAGATGTGCTCAATTTTATAGAAAAAACACTATTAAATCTAAAATCCCAAAGTGATAGTGAGTATCCCACTCACACCAGAAGACAGATCAAGGCAAAAAATAAACGAATTGTTTTAAAAGTAAAAGAATAAGAGGCCATCCCAATCACCCACCTGCAGACCTCTCTCATTCTCTCAATGCCCTCCCAATTCTCCATCTCCTCCTTGTCACCATGTCCCAGACCCCAAATCAAGTAGAGAACCCCTACCTGACCAGAGGGCCACCAGAAGTCCAGCCCCCAACTCTAGTGGAGACCTCCCCTCCCCACCCCAGCCCCACTCGACCACAGCCCATACAGGCCAGAGTACCAGAGAGGAAACAGAAACCAAGGAACAACACACCAATCCAAAAGACACAAACCCAGAAATAGGCACCTAGACCTGTAGTCACTCCAAACCCAGATTCCTGGGTATTATCATAAGAACACAATCAACAATAGCCAAGGCAATGTGTCACCACCAGTAAGCCCTGAATATTCTAACACAGCTGAAACACAAGAAAAAGACCTTAAAACCAACTTTATGAAGATGATAAAGGTCATTTTAAAGAGAAGTGAATAAATCCCTTAAGGAAATCAAGATAAAGACAATTAAAAACTTGGAGGAAGTTAGTAAACCACAAGGAAAAAAACAAACAGTTAAAAAAAACTGTTCAAGACCTGAAAATGAAAATATAAACATTAAGAAAACACAAACTGAGGAATTCTAGAAATAAAAAAACCTAGGTAAGCAAACAAGAGCTACAGACACAAGCATCACCGGCAGAATACCAAAGATAGACAAAAGAATCTCTTAATTTTTATTTTTAGGAAAGAAAATACATTAAAATTGTACTTAATTTCACTAAGATAATTGTTGCTAATGAGCTAAGTTTTTATTTTGTGTTTAATATATTAGTGCACTCTGTTTAAAATAGAAGCATCTTATAAATGGTAAGTGCTAATATGTATGCAGTGAAATATTTTTGCAAAAACTCTCTTATAACCTGAGTAAATAAGGCTTGGTAGCAAAGACACACAGAAAGATCAAGAACATTCTAGTAAGAATGCATTGCTACTCTCTCTTTTTTTATGGTAGTTTTTTTCCTAATAAATAAAATTAACCTATGTATGATAAATTTAAATATCAAATAGTAGACATTTTTATTAAGTATACCATATCTTAGAGTGATTAGATGTATATGTGTATTGAGTATACTTCCTCAGAAATTACTTGTTATTTATCCATAGTATGAATATGAGGTGATATATTTTATCCAGCTATTAATAAAAAGTCAAAAGCCACAATTAGAATCTTCATATAAATAATGAGTCCTCCTAAGTATAACTATATCTCTTGTCATACATGTATATAATTTTATAAAAATACTTATGACCTTGAATTAAAGTTTAATTGAGTCTTCTTGGTTCATCTGAGAGTCCTGCTTGTCCTCATGGCACACAATACAAAGAGGAGCACATACTGTCGGGTACAGACCAAGGGCAAATGCATTTCTTTTGTCCTGAGTCCATGTGCACCGTCATGCCAGGATTCCATAAGACAGAAGAGAAAAGGAATTCTTACCGTGTGGGCACAAGTAAGAAAAATATTGGTAGAGACATCATCAGTTGGAGGTGGTACCAGTTTTGAACAGTAAAAGCCAGGCCTGCTAATGTCATCTGTCCAATCCCTGCAGAACATATTAACAGTGTTGTTGCCAAGGCTTGGAATTCAGGTTTTGTCCATTCAATCACTGAAAGAAAAGAAAATGAATCTTGACTTCCAATAAGCTGGGAAGGACATCCAGGTCAAAACCAAAGCTTGGAAACTGTCCACAAAAGCTTTGACTTACTGAGCAAGCCACAATTTGTCGTAAAACCTGAGGAAGAAATTCCTGCCAGGAAACGTAGTGAGCAGTAGATGAGGAAGGTGGGAGCAAACGCTGCGCAGGCTTCAGAGACGGCCATTTGCAGTAAAGCACATATGAAGACTAACCTCCTCCCAAACCTGAGGGAAAGGAAGGATTAGATTATGGGAACAATGCTGTTGGCATACAAATTGAATACCCTTTAAAATGATAAATAATTCTTAAAAATAACCAAGAGTGTGTATCCTGCAAAGCTGCTTTCTGTGTTTGTGAACAGCATGAACCAAAGCTTCTTCTCCAATATGCTACCAGTATTTTTCCTACTATTTCAAGTCATAAGACAGTGTAGAACATTGGGGTTTTAACATAATATAAATACCTATTACTAAATTATTCATTTAGCATGTATCAGTAACTTGTTCCACTACTATGACAAAATACTTGGTAAAAACCCACTCCACGGAAAAGGGGTTTGGGTTTGGCTCAGAGTTCCGCATAGCACACATTTGGCAAAGAAGGCAGGGTATGGCGGTTCCATGGTGGCAGGAGAATGGAAGAGTTCCTCACATGGTGACTGATCGAGGCAGCAGCATTCAGACTTGACCCTGAAGGTTAGGTATCTCTATCAGGATCTACTGGGGACAAATTAACTCTACCAGTCAGCCCCCACAACCAAAGGTCCCACAATTTCCCAAAACACTTCCATCATTTAGGGGGTAAAAAAATTCTGTGGGTGATACTTCACATTCAGACCAGACAAGTATAGATTACACATAGTATTCCATATTTGCCATCAAAATCAGCACTTTGGAATTCAGGACTCCTGTGCTGGGCATCTGTGAATATTTGATGGTAGACTGTCCTCTCTGCTGAGTTTGGATTTAATGACCTGGAACAACATTGCACTTTCTTGTGCAGATTATTTAAAAGTCACAACGCAGGCATAAGAATTAGAACAAAGGTCTAAAGAAATAATTAAGCCAGATGAAGAACAAATAAACACAAAACAGAAAGATTCAAAAAGTCAAAATTCAGAGTTGCATTGTCAACTAGAAGAGGAATCCTCTCCGACCAGTTGAACAAAAGCATGTGTACTGATTTCACACGAGTGTGGTAACTGCTGAACCACTCTGTTATAGCTGCTCTTCTCAACGGCATATTTACATTGTGATGTTAGTTATACATTCTATTATAAACATATTCATACAACATATTCCTAATTCTTAAGTTTGTACTTCACTTTAGAGCAAGGAATGAATAAAAAAGTGTGTTAGATAAAATGATAAAATGACAGTTTTGGTAAAACTTGGTCAGTCAAACAATACATAGGTATATCATGTAAATCATATGTATTCTCATAGGAAAGAGTCATCTGTAAAACTGGTAAATGTTCTATTTCTTCAGTGGCAAGTCTTTGGTGGTACCCTAGCTGTGCATTCCTAGAAGACAGTCTTCATGGACTCCCACTGTGAAACACCATGTAGCAATTAGAAAAATGAACTGAAAGTGCAGAGATACATAGGTATCCCAACAAACAGAAAAAGAGTGTTGAAGCACATGGTCCCTAGCTGGTGACACTGTTCTAGAACCTTTGGAATATGGAATTGGAGGAAGTGCTCATCTGAAGACTAAGTAGAGAGCCTGACACCAGCCCTTTGCTAGTAGATAGCCTCCATCCCCTGTCACCATATCCCAACCCTTCATCCCATCATGTCTTTCCATCACGGTGATTGCACCCTCAAGCATGTGTAAAAGCAAAATGCAAAGAACGATTGTAGGAATTCCTACAGCCAGTAGCCTTTAAGTTACCCGCACACTTGGGCATGGCCTCTTATACTCTATTTGCTGATGTAAAGTGCGCCTCCAGCTTCTCTTCCGGAGGCGTGATTCAGTTCCTGTTCTCCATTCCTGCAGAGGATTGTGGTCTGTGAGTCTACCCCTAAATAAAAAACCCTTTATTATACTCAATTCTGAGCTACTGTGGGATTTCTTTTTAGCGTCCTTCTTCAGAGAACAACTGGCTGTGGGGTGCTCAACCCCAACCAATGCATCTACTATGCAACCACTATACTAAAGGCTCAGAAACCACCACAGAAGAGGGAACAGAGTGATTATAAAAGCCAGAGGACCAGAATGTTTTCTGTGAGAGAGTATCTTCTATAAACAACAGGAGCTGTACCCATAACATCTGTAGAATATGGTCACCTAGATAAGACGAGCACAAAGACAGCGCCAGTTGACATGCCGACACAGATGGAGAAGATCTCATAAGACCCCACCCCTAGCTGAAGAGCTATAACCAATTAATGGCTGCTGATAGAGGAGAATCCGTCTTCCTCAGGGATGAGCCCCCCGATAGATGGTCCAATCCCAAGTCATCAGCCCTAAATACACACAACAAGCAAACTGAAATGGACTCAATAGGTTATATTTATATGTGGGTATATGCATATGTAAAATAATAATTTTAAAAAGAGGTCATGAATTTGAGAGATAGTTTGAGAAAGACAGGAGGAGCTAAATGAAGAAGTGAAGAAGTGACAAAATACAGTACTCAAATATAAAACTCTCAAAGAGATAAAAAAAAATTTAAATTGAAAAAAATCCTTTCTTAATTTTCTCTTGTCAGGAGTTTAACAGAGATTAGGAAATCCACTAATATGGAACACACCTGATTGATGTCTTATTAATAGAGAGATATTAGATGTTTGATATTTAAAAAGATCATTATATGTATATAAAGCACTTCTTCCCTCATTTCAGATTCTCTTTGTTTTTGTTTTGGTTTGGGGGGGCAGTTGTCTGTTTTGGTTTTGGTTTTTTGGTTAATTTTTTTTCCATTTGTTTATGTGCTTGGTTGGGTGGTTGGTTGGTTGGTTTGTTGGGGTTTGGGGTTTTTTTGGTATTTTGTTTGCTTGTTTGTTTGTTTGTTTGTTTTTCAAGGCAGGGCTTCTCTGTGTAACCCTGGAATGTCAGGGTATCTCTTTCCCCCTTCTTTGTTTTGAAGATTGACTTGACATTGTGACATTTCTTGAAGACTAATAAATAATTCTAACAATTCTAATGAAAAGGTCAAGATAATGAGAATCGATTTAAAACAAAGATCTAAATTTATTAGTTATTTGGCTAAACAGAAGAAAAATTATCAATTAACATATTCCGTGTGAACTGTAGGAATAAAACGGCTACCCCCAAAGGCTCAGGGATCACTGAGGAAGACAGAGCAAAGAGACTGCTTCTTAGCCAAAGGTCAGAAAGATTGGAGCTAAACAGAGTCTTCTAGACTTAACAGGACACTCATCAGCGTTCAGCAGCTGCGACTAACTACAAAAGACCTGCACAAATCAAGTCAGCATGAGCTCATAAGTCCCTACCCCTAACTGAGAAGCTATTAGCAGCTGATGACTTCTGAAGAAAGGAGACTCAATTTTTTTCTTCAAGGGCATGGACTCCATCCAGCAGGTGGACCATTCCACAGTGAATGGCCCCACACCTAGGGCAGCACAAATTGGAACCGACATCTTATTTTACAAAGGGGATGGGGAGAAGAAAACGTTAGGAGTGTGGGATGGGGACTGCATTTGGAAGGAGTTAGGGGGAGGATGACATGAATATATGACAAAAATATGTCTTATTCATATGTGAAATTCTCAAAAACTAGTAAAAATTATATTCTTCTAAGAATATGATGGCTGGAGAGGCTGTGTTAATATTAGACAAAAATAGATTTTAGAACAGATGTTTGTCCAGCTGTGGTAGTACATAGACACGAGTCTTGAAGCACTAACATTATTATTATTTGAAGACTATTTTTGGAACACACAGAGAGTTTGCTAAGGTGGGCTATGTAGTGAGACACTGTGAGGACATCTACCCTCCCATGTTCCCTCCACCGCCAACAATCTTGGCTGCTGTCTTCTAAGGAAGACTAATTCACACTGTGTTCAGAAGTCAAAGTTTATCTGGAGCATAGTTCAAAGGAGCAGCAGTGTGAAAGTCTACCTCTGCTGTCTGAACTTAGTAGTCTTAATTACCACATTCCTTCTCTCTCCCCTGGGGTGGTCTTTGGGTGTCTTCCTTCCTGGAAAGATGTTTTCTTGGAAGCTGTCTTGACCCACAATTCGACCTTTTACAGTTAAACACAAATATGCATAAAGGTGTAAGGACTCACAAAGTTGACTAAGGAAAGGCAAAGATGACTCTTGAATGTTCCTCAGGCAGAAGCGCTGTGGGAGCCAGCTAGAACCTGCTGGAACCAACTTTGCTTTTTGCCCTGATCCCTCTTCTCCCTTTCTGATTACCTCATGCCCAGATACCAGTCTTCTCACTAATCTTCCTCAGTGTTCCTGGTGTTGGGAACAGTGTATTAACCCAAAAATTTGTTTTAGTCCTAATAATTTTAAGTTAGGAAACCTGAGAATTGTGATTTCAAGACCACGCTGAAATACATAGTTTGTGGCCAACATGTGCTACACAGTGAGACACCCTCTTTAAAATAAATAAAATAAAACAATTCATGAATAATAAGGTGAATAAATATTTTAATGAGTCTTCATTGAAAAAAAGAAAGCATGCGATCAAACCGGACTCTCTAAATGTGGCTGACAGTGGGGGCTGACTGAGAAGCCATTGATAAAGGCACTGGGACTTGTTTCTACTGCATGCACTGGCTTTTGGGGACCCTAGTCTATTTGGATGCAAAGCTTCTTAGGTCTGGATGTAGGGGGGAGGGCCTTGGACTTCCCACAGGGCAGGGTTCCCTGCCCTCTCTTAAGAAGGGAGGGGAAAGGAGGAGAGAAAGTGGGGGAGCGTGAGGGGAATGAGAGGAGAGGAGGAAGTGTACATTTTTTAATGGAAAAAAATAAATAAATAAAAATCAATTTAAAAAAAGTACGAATTATAATGCTGAATCTCAAATTTACATTTATGTAAATAGTATTTTCAAAAACACAACACAAAGTTAAAGGAAAAAAATATGTCAGTGGAGTGAGAGATTTTAATATTACTCTCAGTAATTAACAAAAAAAAGTAAGGAATGTACCACAAGACTTGAGACGTATGAGTGAATATTGCTTCCAACCAAAATTACTTGTTTGGCATTAACACAGCCCTGTTCCATGAAGAGCAGCTTACAAACCTGCTCCAGAATTCTGTGCCTCCAGCACTCCTACTTGGAAAATTACTATCTGGTCTGAGAGTACTAAGAGGGACCTTTCAGATTTTGTTCACTGTGAGCAAGGATGCCCTAGGCAGAATGGCTACCATCAGGAAAACTGAAAACAAGTGTTGAAGATGATGTGGGAAGGGAGGAACAACTATTCACTCACTGGTAAGGGTACACATTAGTACCACCAATATGAAAATTGGTGGCAAGTTTCTTCAAAACATTAAAAGTACCCTACGACCCAACCATATAACTCCTGGCATATACCCAAAGGACTCCATACTGTGCCAAAGAGACACTGCTCTTCATTTTATTGTTGCAATGTTTGTGATAGCAAGGACAGAGAAGCAGCCTAGTTGTCCATCAACAGATGAATCAATAGTGAAATGTGATACCTGCACACAGTGAGTATTCTTCAGCTGATACCTGCACACAGTGGGTATTCTTCAGCTGATACCTGAACACAGTGGGTATTCTTCAGCTGATACCTGCACACAGTGGGTATTCTTCAGCTGATACCTGCACACAATGGGTATTCTTCAGCTGTAAAGAAATCATGAGATTTGCCAGGAAAGGGTGGATCCAAAAAGTGTAATATTAAGTGAGGTCACCCAATCCCAGAAAGAACAAACTGCACCTTCTCCCATATACAAGGATCATAGCCTATAATGCATATATATAAACATGTGGGTAAATGTGGGAAAAACCAGGGGGGGGACAGAAAAAGAGGTCAAATACTTGCTGATGGGGAAGTATGAGAGTAGGAAAAAGACAATGGAACAGGAAAAGGAAAAGAATCTAGGGAGCAGCAACGGGGGGGGGGTAGAGACTGAGGGGGGAGGGAGAGGATAAGAACCACACGGACACACGTTGTTTGAAATATCATGTGGAACCGAGTAGATGACGTGTGGGTAAGAGCATTGGCTGTTCTTCCAGAGGACTCAGGTTATATCCCCAGCACCCACATGGCAGCTTACAACCGTCTATAACTCCAGTTCGATGGCATCTGATAACATCTTCTGGCCTCCAATGGCACCAGGCACACACATAGAGCACAGACATACATACAGGCAAAACACCCACATACATAAAAGTGTCTTAACAGTATCCAACACTGTGATGACTCCTTTTAAGATTACATGAAGGGAGAGAAGGATTTGTGGAGGTGGTTATAAATATAGAATACTGACAACTGTGAAATTGCCAAAGAACAATTAAAAGAGACTCTTTTTTAAAAAAAATAAGAGAATGGGGCCCTCATGAATGGAATTGGTGACCTCATAAAAGAGGTGCAGAGCCAATGAGAAGGTTTGGGGGCTAAGACACTCGCAGCCCATGCCTGGAACCTCGGTATGCTCTCCAGATGCCATGCAAAGATGGAAGAAAACTGACTCCAGAAAGTTGTCCTCTCATCTCCACATTGCAAGTCGTGGCACGCATGCTTACACACACATATTATGTGTAACACAGTGATGCTAACGTTTAAAGTTAAAATAAAAGAGGCACAAGGGAGCTACGTGCCTCCTCTACTGAGGGCCCAGTGTATGACACTTCTGCTACAGAAAAAGGCAGCAACAAGCTTGGCAGAAGTTGTCATCTGTTTAAAAAGAAGTGTTTTTCAGGCACCAGATCTAAGCCATGCCATAAACCGTGATGACAGTTGTCATTAGATGACTTATTTCATATGTCTGAAAGTGTGACCTTTAGAAATAATCTTTGGCAGAAGCAAAAACAGAGTGACAAACGTAGCTTTCAACACACCAATGGCACTGCAGGCATCAAAGGACATTCCACCACTGTGTTTGAGAAATGAAGATATAATATCCCTTCTCTGTGAACCACGATGTCCAATGCACTGTCCAGGAAGGAGAAAGCACAGTTCCCTGGCAAGAGCGTCAATGCTGTTTTCCATATCTGAATATTCGAATAGGACAAAAACAATGTGTTGAACATCTTTGCCTCCTTCCCATAGTTGACCCTTTCTCATATCTCTCAAGCATGCTGTGACACTTTCTCTCCACCCCTCATCCTGAAACATCTCCATATCTCACGGAGAGGCTATTCCTGCATCTACACAACACATAGACTTCTATTTAAACAGCACTCCTCACACTGACTGAAATTTCCATTTGTGTTTGTGGTTCTCTAGGATAAAGGGTACAGCTGGGAGAATTTAATTTGCAATAGCTACTTCACAATGCATGAATGACTCACAGGTGACTGAAATACTCATACACAGAGAAAGCCATAAACCAGAGACACTCACCTGTCTGTTAGGTGGCCACATAGGATATTTCCTACTAACGTACCACTCAAGAATGAAAATTTAGCTACTGAGTCCATTGACTGAGATTCACAAACCAGGTTCCACTGAAAAATACGGAAACCAGCAAAGTAAGATTTATAACCTGTCACTCTGACTATATCAAAATGCTTCAGTATGACCCTCAAGTCTCATTCTAGCACCCCCCCTAAACTCCTCTCCCTTTTCAATACCACCTGAATTCTACAATCCTGCTCTCAAACACACCTGGCTCCAGGAATCTTCTCCTAGAACTAGGACTTAGTTGGTTGTACTACTGACTTGTAACCCATGCTAAGAAATTCTCAAGCTTGGTCATATAGTGCAATGAGCCTTGAAAATGTGCTGGATCCTATACCTGAGCACAGCCTCTCATCACTCTGAGAGCAGAGCTTGGGTACTGACTATTAGATAGAAAAATAGATGGATGGATGGATGGATGGATGGATAACAGATGGACAGAGATGATATAGATATAGATCCAGATATGCATTATAGATATATTGGCAGTACCAAAGTTGGAACACAAGCCTAGTGCGTAGCCCCCATTCTACCCTATCACAGAAGGTAAAGTATTGAGACTATTTATAGTATTTAGTATTTAGGGTGCTAGGGATTGAAACTTGGGCTCATACATGCCACACAAGCATTTTGCCAGTGAGCCATACTCCCAGACAGTCCATTATGGTTTTGTTCAACCTCATAAATATTTCTTATTTGAAATCAAAGCTGAAAAATAAATACTGACTTGTAAGATTTATAAAAAGAACACATGAATTATTTGATTAAACTGATTTGGCACATAAAAATTATTCCTTAAATTGTAGTCATCCCGTCTAGGGAAATAACCAGTAGAATAAGTCTTTCTCATTTTTTGAAGTTATTAGAGTTATTGAGTATATATTTCATATATTGGCTAAAAGATGAAATCTAAGCTCAAAACATGTGCTCTATTCATACTATTACTAAACATGCATCATGAACTTATGACAGGAAATAAAGTCACTTACCTCAGTCACAATGGTGAGGGAAGTTTGGTCATACACCCAGCCATCCACACAGGGCTCTATGTCTGTCTCTGTCACATTGGAAAGAGTGTCATTCAAATGAAGGAGATGCCACTGTGGTCGCACAAAACGATGACACTTGTCTGGCCTCAGGTTGGAGTCCAGGGGAATGGAGACCCTTAGGAGGTCTTCTTTGCTCAGGATTCCACTTTCATTATCAGAGACAGTGTCATTGTCCAAGATAGGGACCCAGCATCGATGATTGGGTATAGCTGCCGTGAAGTTCTCCAGTACAGAATGGGGAGCCACTATGATATTGCTGATCAAAATGAAAATCATCTGAAGGATCTGGAATCTCCCCAGGCTGCCAACTTGATCCAGGAGATCCTGAAAGGCCATCGAAGACAAATGACTATGTTCAAGAGAAGGCAAAAACAACTGCTCCTAGGTGAATCCAAAGGTTCTAACAAGTTCTGATTCACTATAGAACAGAACCTGACCTCTCCTTCTACTATACCTCTCTTCCCTTTTGCACTGAGGCATAGGACAGCTATCCCCTAATGACTTAGGTGTTAGGTGGGGAGCTGCTTCCTCTAAAGTCACCAAGAGAAACATTCTGCTAAGTTGCTTTCTGTAATGAATCTGTTAAAGATTTACTTTGTGAGAAACTTTGCGCATTGCCCCATGATCACCTGTAGACATTGATCCTCAAATGCTGTGAAAACAAATGAGCACTAACCTGTTATACAACATGCAGGCTTTTACAGAATATGCATCTTCCAAACTCACAAGTTAGGTGTTTGTCACTTTCCTGATCTGTTCAATAGTCAGCTTGGCTAATATTATTAATGAAAAGATTTGGAAGCTAAGTTAATACAAACAAAGGAAGTACGAAACAGTTCTTGGCCTTTGCTACCTGACCTGCATCGGGTCCAATGCCCATGACTTCCCACTGTAAATATATGTTCAGATGGTAGGAGGGTGAGCAAGGGCAAGGTGTTAGGTCTCAAAGAAACCTAGAACAAATCTCCCTCAGTACATGTGGCTCCTCCCAGCATTCACCACCCTGCTCCTACCCTAAACCTCTTCTTTGCAGGGGCTTGGCTTCCACTTCCCTTCCCCCAGCTTTTGATACCTACACAACTCAGCCATCTCGGTCTCTTGGTTCCCAAGTGTTCTCTTTTGCTCTCCCTCTCTCTCCTCTCATGGCCTGGTTCAGTCTGAACTCTTTCCAGGTGCCTCCAGCTGCCCTCTCCCTCACATCTACGGTAAACCCTCTCCTCTGCCATACCTTGGAGCAGTCTGCCCTCATTTTTTCATTCATCTGATGCCCAAACCACAGGAGTAACATAAATGAACTCCCTTTCAAGGGACTCAGCCTCTCTGAACCAAGCTGCTGGTTTAATTCCCCTAAGGTATTATGGTGGATTGAAAGAAAATGGTCCCCCAAGAAAGTGTCACTATCAAGATATAAAATTCAGCTCCTTCTCCAGCACCATGTCTGCCTGCAAGCCACCATGTTCTACCATGATGATAATGGACTGGACCTCTGAAGTGTAAGCCACACAATTAAATGTTTTTTTATAAGAGTTACCATGGGCCGGGCGTTGGTGGCGCACGCCTTTAATCCCAGCATTCGGGAGGCAGAGGCAGGTGGATCTCTGTGAGTTCGAGGCCAGCCTGGTCTATGAGAGCTAGTTCCAGGACAGGAACCAAAAGCTACGGAGAAACCCTGTCTCGAAAAAATCCAAAAAAAAAAAAAAAAAAAAAAAGAGTTACCATGGTTATGGTGTCTCTTCCCAGCAAAAGAAACACTAAGACACGTATGTATGAATCATTTTTTCTGACTTCTGCCACCCACCATATTTGGCTCCAAACTCTAGAACCCACTTCAGTTGTTCCTTCCATCCACTTCAGTTGTTCCTTCCATCCACTTCAGTTGTTCCTGCCATCCACCTGCTCTAACCATTCACCTATCCTCCACCACAGGGGAAGAATCCTCTCTCTGGCTCCTGGAATCTATTCTCTACCTTCTGGAGCACCAATCACGTGTTCATCTCAAGTCCTCTGTGCTCTCTGGGGCTATGCCACATGAGAAACCAGCTAAGACACTGACCCATCTCCCTTCATTAGCACCCTCACTTTCCCCCAAAGCTTCTCCAAGCCTACTTTACAGCTGCTTTCTCCAATCCTCCTCCGCTGGATAAGTGTCACCCTGGAGCTGCCAGCCTTGTCTACTATTACTACAAAAGTCACACTCCTGTGCCAGGACACTCCTCTTGCCCTACTAAGTCTCTGTCACGTGGGAGGGGGCATCTCTTCTGCGTGACTTGAGACGTTTCTCTCTCATGAGTTTCTCAGTCCACTTGGGGATGCCCTGAATTAAAACTCTTGTTACCACAACACTTATCTCCTTTGCTCTCCTTGTTCTCGTTCCTTCTTGGAACTTCCTTGCCTCCCACAGGAGCTGCAGTCCCAGAGTTTCCTTAAATCTTTCTGGAATCCTACTATATGAGAATCCTCCCTTGGGTGGAAATCCTATTTTCAACCCTTGTCCCTTGCAGCTACACTGTTCTCTGTTTCTCAGCTCCCTCTTGGAGCATATAGAAACCCTTCCTCCAGGGGAGTTTGTTTTGCAACTCTTTCTCCTCAGAATCAAAGCCTTAATGTCTTAGTGAAAATAGCTGGGCCTCCAAACAGTCCAGTCAATGGCCAAAAGTTGACACACTTGATTTTCCAGTTCTCTCAATGGTACAACTTCTGCCCTTGCACAACCTCTCTTGTATCTAAACTTTCTCTTCTCTACAAAAAAAAAAATGAAGCACTATTAATAAAAACTCAGAGACTGAAATTGGGGTTCAGCCTGAAGAGCCAAAAAGCAAAGCAGCCAGCCACTGACTCTTACCTCGACCTCAATCTGAAAATGGTGATCCTGCCTCCAGGAATCTCAGAATGATACTGAACCTGAGAGCTGTCTCCTCCCATTTTATAATCTTCTCTAGTTCTGGGATTAAAGGCACCACTACTGCCTGGTTTCTATGGCAAACTAGTGTGTCTATTGGTATTAAAAGTGCGTGTCATTGTGGCTGCTGGTATATGTCATTGCTGGCTGGTCAGTGTGGCTTGTTTAGTTCTCTGATCCCCAGGCAAGTTTTATTTATTTTTATTATTTTTAAATATTAAAATACAAGTGAAATGCCACTACATTTCCCCTTTTTGTTTATAACTAATATGAGAAAAACTATATACAATAAATACAATAACTATATGCACTACATACAGGCAATAAATACATCAACAATGTCTAGTCCATGTGCATTTGACAAATTCAGATAAAATACTCCATATCTATCCTACTAAATCCAAAGTCTTGTACTTAATTTATTTCCTATTATAACTTGCTTTCTGTGCTAAGTAAACTATAACTATCTAATCTTCAACTTCCTCAGAGACCCAAGAAGAAAATAATATTAACTGAATAAGCAGGAAGGGCAAGCAAGTTACTTCCAAAAAATGTGAGTAATGACAGAAACAGCTGGCTGCCTGGACAGTTACCCAGTGTTCCTCTGCAACGATGGGGCATCCATCTTCAGCCTACAGGCCTAGCTTATCTGACAGACCTTTCTGTGAAGCAGGATATTTTGTGTCGTGCTTGTCTAATTAGGACAGCATACTGTCAGTGGTCGAGGCAGGGGCATTTTCTTGCACAGTGACTTACTTTTGCCACAAAGAAAGTAAACTCCATGTGGAGTTTCTTTTATGTCCATTATCTTCTCTGAAGTAGATTGGTGCTGCCAGGAGCAGATATGTCTTCGCTGTCATAAAAAAAAAATAAGAAGAACCTAGGTTATTAAACATCTTAAATGTCATATTCTGTAGATTCCTGAAGTGTTTGAAGATGACCTATCTAAAATATATCTTTGTTTGTCCTTGAAAACATACCAAATGTGACTACAAGTTTGCTTATACTAGGTGATTAACTACTAACCTATGGTTCCTTATTATTCTGAACAATTGGTAATAATAGTTTTCAAGAACTAGAAATTTGCATTACATTGTTAAATGAGCTGTATAGGTACAATACCTTGAATAAGATTAGAAATGTATGTACAGCATTTTTAACAAAATTAATCTCAAAATTTGTATACAATATACAAAAGTCCAATCCAATGTAAAACATTTAAAATAAATAGTTGCTTTTTAAAAGTAGGTTCAATAATCTACCTTTTTATCTTATCATATCTATTCTCCCTTTTTCTTTTCAGAGTAGATTCAACAATCTACCCTTTTATCCTATCACATCTATGGCCCCCCATTTTTTTTTCTTTTCTTTTTTATTTTTTCAGTTTTTCGAGACAGGGTTTCTCAGTAACCATGGAGTCAGTACTGGAATTTGCTCTGCAGACCAGACCTCGAACTCACAGAGATCCTCCTGCCTCTGCCTCCTGAGTACTGGGATTACAGGTGTGTGCCTTTTTTTTTCTTTCCAAATCAAGATTATATCTATAGCTTCACTTTTTTCTTTTCAGAGTAGATCCAACAATCTACCCTTTTATCCTATCATATCTATAGCCCTCTTTTTCTCTTTTTAAAACAAAAAACCTTAAATCTAATTTCCTTTGTTTAGCTTTTTTTCTGACCATTATCCATAACAACTTGTAACCAACACATTAAATAAAGACAAACATCCATAATCCATTTTTGGGGAATGTGGGCATAGTTTTCTAGGCTACTTCCTGCTGATGGGGGGCACTGATAATCTAATGGGGACCCAAAGAAAATTTAGGATTATGATCAAGTCCTTACTGGAGTATTCAGTGAGGCTGGATCATCTCAGCCAGCAGTCTTGGAAGTTGTTCTGGATATAGAACTCAGAGAAAATGGCAACAGGGGTTCTCTGAAATGTTATATCATCTGGGCCAGCCGTTCCCACTGGCGACTGTTCAGGGGGTCTTCTTTAATCAAACATTATTTTTCTAAACCAAGAATTAGTCCACAGCCAATCAAATCTTATTTTTTTAACCAAGAATAAATCAACAAACTCTCATTTCCTGTGGAAACAAAATCAAAACCTCTTCTCCAAAGTAACATATCTTTTGATTTAAATTTTGAAGTCAAGGCATTTTCAAAATAGATAAATTGGATTAATCCAGCAACATTTATAATCAAATGTTTTTTAGCAGCTATTGCTCCTTTCTCAGCTGTCAAACAATTCAAAGACAACACAATAACATACAGTATCCAGATTCTCTGTGTATTTTCCATCTTTACATGGAAGCTAAGCCTGGGGCGGATGGGAGCTGGGAGCACTAGTTTTTCTCCAAACCCAGGTGGCTAGGTTTGGGTCCAGCTCCTAGAACTGGAATTCCAATCTCAACTCGGGCCTGGGCTGGTAGCTAAAAAGCCTTAGGCAAATGGTTTTTTTAGTAAATTTATGCCTCAAAAGCCAGATGCCAAAATAAAACACAATTAATAAAAACTCAGAGAGAGAAACTGTGGTTCAACCTGAAGACCTGGAAAGCAAAACAGCCAACCACTGGCTCTTACTTCAACTTCAGTTCAAAAATGGCCATCCTG